CAATATTTTCATATAACTTAATTTTATGAAATTCATTCATTTGTTGTTCAGTTCAATATATGAATCAATGCTATTATTACTCTGATGAACTACAATCCCATGAACAAAGTTTTGTCCTTACCACACAAAAAAAAAAAAAAAATCAAACCATTAATAATCTAAAAAGAAAAGAATGCATAAATTTTAAATAGATTAAGTTACAAAATTCTTTCAAAAGAACAATCATCATACCCTCTATTAAAAATTTATATATAAAAAAAAAAGGACTAATAAGGAAAATAGTTCATACAACAATATATATATTTTGGACTAAGATGGAAAAAGACATTTAAAATAAAAACATAATATTATATTTAAATACAATATGAAATAGGAAACAAAAAGAAAAATAATATTTGGAACTCACCATATTAATAAAAAGAAATTAAATAAACGAAGAGGAGAATATAATATATTGGTGTAGAGAAAACTGAAGGTTTATATATAGGTGGGTAGGAGGATGGAAGGGCTTAGAGAAATACTATTTAGTATTTAATGCAATTTTTTTTAAAATAAAATGTATATTTCTCTTTTAAAATAAAAATAAAAATAAAAATATTTAATGTCTAATCAATACATTATAAGGTAAAATGAAACTTCTCAATTGTACATGAAGAAGAAAAAAACAAAAAGGCTAAAAAAAAATTGTAACCATACAAATAGTTATTATGTTATGCATTACAATCCCATACTTTTTACCCTTCATAATTTTTAGGCATTTATTCATCTTCTTTCATTTTAACACATTACATTATATTATGTATGTAATGGAAATTAATAATGATAAAATAATTGAGAATATAAAGATAAGAAATAGAAGACAAAAGACATGAGAAGATAAAAAGGTTGGATTTATAATATTAAATAGATTTATTTACATAATTTATTCTTTTATAATTAAAATTAAATTACAAATTTTAGGGCCTAATTATTGTTTGAGGGTACTATTTTTTTAGCCCATGTGTTGCACAAATGTGTTTTTTCATTTATTTTTAATTGTATTTATGTTTTTTTATCTAGTAGATTATATTTATGAAGTATCAATGATATAACAAAGATGAAAGAAATATTCATAGAAAGGTATTTGAAATTTTGAATATCTTGCAAAGCTTTATTCCTATTATTCAATAGTAACTTATGGGAAGCCATTAAGAGCTTCCTGTTATTCAATAGTTACTTGTGGGTAGTCATTAAAAGCTTCACAATAAACAATGTTTTTTGTGTAGCCTTCATGGTCTTATTCATCATGGCCAATGAGAATCTTTAGATCTATTAGAGATGTCACTCTAGACATAGCCACATATAATTGGCCATGGCTAAAAATATGATTTGGTAGATATAGGCCAACATGCTTTAGGGATTGCCCTTGACTCTTTTTAATTGTCATTGCATAGCACAGCTTTAAAGGAAATTATCTTCTCTTCAATATGAATGGCCACTTCGATTGTTGTGAAGTTGTAGTAATTCTTGGTATTAAAATCTTCTCGCCAACTTGTTTCCTGTCATGATCTTGCCTTCAATGACCCATTCTCTTAACTGCATGATATTTATTCTTGTGCCATTACATAGTCCTAAATTTGGATTGACATTTCTCAACAACATAACTAGCATTCCTTTCTTCAACTTTAGGCAATGATTTGGCATTCCTAAAAAGGTTAATGTGTTCAAGAATTCTATTGGGTGCATCATGTACTGATTGGCTGTATCAGAGGAGGCCTTACAAATCTCATATAAACTATTGTAAGTTTTGGTTTTTGCCCCAAACAAAGAGAACATGTAATCATTTATTGTGCTAGCAATCTCATTCAATGGAGTCAAAATGGCTCTCACAGGTTTTGGTCATCATGCATGTTGTCAAAATTTGGATACGCTATAATATCCCAAATTTTCTGATATTTTAGCATTTAGTTAGGGACTTAATTGTGAGGATATAATATTGTTGAGTTTAATGACAAAAACTTCTAAAACTTGAGGGACTTAAAAGAGGAAAATTTGGATAAGGACCAGTTGATATTTTTTTCTCCTTTTCCTTTTTCTTCCTCAGCCCACGTGTTTTGCTCTTATTCTTCCCCGACCCCCCTGCAACCCAAAAGGAAGCCAAG